GGTAGAACGATAATCCAAAAGATGAACGCTGTATTTTTTTTCTAATTCTCTGCTCGTTTGAGACTGTTCAATGCTTTTCACCAAACTCGCTCCCTTCTGCTCACCAACTGAATTAGGTACCTACCGTGATGGTTTCCCGACCCAGGCGCACATATAGTGTCGTAAAATACCCACTTGTAGTTGATATGATATCGCTTCATGTCGTATTAATTGCATATGGGAAGCCTTCTATGAGAACTGCTTAACGAATCAATCATCACATCCTTGAAATCTTGACGACATAGTGGAAGCCTGCTTGATGTAGGTTTCATATAATGGTGTCTAGTCAATGGTCTTAATTTCCACCTAACTACAGCCTAGCGCTGAATGTTTCGGAATAGGTACTGCCATCACTACAGTTCTGCCAGTATCCCTCTGAACATCCAGCACTTTCGAGTCAATACCCAAATCCCTGCAAATTCCAGCTCACTCTTTTCCTTCAATAATCGCTTCCACCGATTGCAGTTTTCAAATACTATATAATCCCTCCAAAACGTACCATCTAACAATGGTCTCTTCTCCCTCTTCTCCCTTCTCCTTCATTTCTTTTACTCACTGACAACTGACCGGTTATCTGCGGTAAGTGCAGTTTTGCCACACTCGAAATTTCGCGGAGATCGAGGAATACTGCTGCATGGGCGGACTTCTTCGACAGAATTATCTACATTTCAATGGAATTTCGCTAGCCGAAAATGAGAATCAAGTTCTATTTGTCAACCATGGTCTCACCACAAAAAGAAACATCCGATTCTGACAGAGATCAGTAGCGAGTTGGACGGTCGAACGGCCCCTCGTGCTAATGACTGTAATGCTCACGTAATAATGCTAATAATTTACAATCAGCAATGGCATATGAACAGCGGAAGAACCTTAATTATCCTCAATTACACTTCATTACTGTAACTATCGATCGATATCGGAAGGTTGAAGTATATCTGGTCAGCATCGACTGATATCACAGGGCCAGGGTTCCCAGCCGAGCACCTGTCGTTGCTTCTCTGCGGGAAGAGCTCGTTTATGGTCACCTGGTCAATCGCATTGTAAATCGATACCAATCAGTACCACTTAATCTAAATTGCGGCATCGATATATGTACATTTTTGCTATGGTCTACTGTGTATGAGTACTCGTTATCATCAAACCTAAACAGTTTCCAAGCTCTTCTTCACAGGTAGCACCTTAATTGTTGATAGGTTTTCCATATCAATTCTCTAGTCATCATCAAGAATAGTTTGCCGACAAACACACAGATCGAAAACCGACAAACAAACAACACATGAATTAACTGCTTTTATATTTGGAAGGAATTCTCCTTGCAAAAAACATTCCGCAGCCGAAGCCCTTGACTTGAATGGGGCTACCCTTTTCACAGATCCGTCCTCATTCAAGTTAGACCTGTTAGCTCACAGAGGAAAAAATACGAGCGCAACTTCTCTTTCGATAACACCATGTTTGCAAGGAATCAGTCACTAACGTGGAACGGTCTCGTTGACGCTCGGCATTTAATCTACTTCATTTTCTCTTGCGGTGAAGGTAAAAATGTCGGAAAACAGTCATATACAATTTGAAAAGCGCCCCATCCGACCGATTCCCCGTTTCATTTGCTTTTTTGAGAGAAAATTGGAAATTTATGTGGGCGTAGGGAGCACAGCCTCCGGTCAATGACAGTGGGCAACACGGTGTGTGCGTGCTTCATTTGCGTACTACCCCGAGGTTTTCTGGCTTCATTCAGAATGATCCCTTCCGTGTGTCTTGAAACGCCTATTGGAAGCTGAGCAGGAAAACTGCGCCTTTTGAGGCAACCGTTGTGCAGGAACTATGCCGATCACATCAAAGTCTGTCTTTTGCTTCGTTACATAATCGGGTGATGTCAGTCAAACTGGTACAAATTTTTATGTGAAACAGATGCCTCGATTTTTTGTGTATAAATAGAGGTGAGGGCTGGAAAAAATGGAATTCAAACCATTAAAACCAAAAAAAAATTAAAAAATTAAACCAAGAACTAAAAATTTTAAGCTAAAAGTTTGAAAATTTCTAAAGCATCTCATGACAAACTGTATGCCTCTCCAAACAGCTGCTCGTTGCCAGCCTCAACAGAACATTTTGTCCTCACTACTTTGTCAAGAGATGAAGGCCCACCCCACGGAAGCACGCTCTGACTCGCACAGTGTGCACGACAGGTGGCTGGGTCACCTCTCACCGTGACCTCATCCAAGTGTCTGCATACTCACTCTAGTTCCAACCAAAGCAGTTAATTTGTGTCAGGCAGCTCATCGATAAAGAAGAAGTGGGCCGGCGCACACACCTTGCCCTTATGACTCTGAGCTGACTCTCCTCTTTGCTTATTCCCGAATCTTCTGAATATTGTCTGTTTGCGTACTAAATTGTGTCTCTAACATCTTTCTTGACTTGCTTAACGAATGGAAACCCTCCCTATTACCTTATCTTATTCCCTCTTATCTTTACTAGAGTGAATGGTTCCCTGAAGAATTTTGTGCTTCCAAAATCACCAAGGTAACGGGTTGTAAGCAGGAGCTTATCCCGATGCCATTTGATCATACTTAACAAGGAAGCATTTGTTGGATTCGTCCTTAAAGCAGTCATCTATAGGTCTTGCCATCCATCTACAGATAGGCTCGGGTTCCGTCATCATAATTGGTGAGTTGTATGGAACACGGAAAAGAACTTGCTGATGAGGTCATTACTCGCTGAGATAGACGAAGGAGATAGCCATGAGTGACTACCTGACCATTATTAGAGTTTCTCTACTAGACGCGTTGTCACCCCCTAGCAAGACTGTTCTTAGTCCTTAGCTCTTCCCCGCAAAAATTAGATTCCAGTTAACTGGGAAGCAATAGTATAAGACCCTTGGGTACCCTCGGATGACATTATTAGAACGCCATTACCACCATACTAGTAGGTTTTCCTGGAAGATTGTGTCATTTTCACACTTTTGATCGATCCCTTCATTTAAAAACAAATGCAACATCAATGTGTACCATATGCACCATCACTATCAACAACTTGTTGCCAACGACTTAGCAGAGTGTGGTGGATGCCTCACCTCAAGAAGTGCAGTTGTTTGAAAATCAAAAGAGGGTGGGATCATCTCTGAGATATTCCCAGTTGACAAATTCCTTGCATATCGTCGGTCTGGGCTCACCATCAGAACAAACATTGGACTTTTTTCGAGAGCATATCACATGTATGGGTGAGCTGGCTGCCAGGTGGGATGCCACAAAAAAAGGACTTTTCCGAACTCATATTTCTGGAGCTGTGCTTCAGTGATTTGTGCGCCAATACTACATTTTCAGTTCTCGTTTCCTTGAACCCATTTTATATGTGCAATCGGACTGACTTTTTCCATGTCTCTCTTTCAGGTCTACCGAAAAAATCGAGAGTTGCTTATAGTGAAAAAACAGCTCGCCAAAAAACCTGTTTGTTAACTCTTTGCTCGCTATTCTTTTTCCTTCTTTCCTCTTGTGTTCTTTTCCACGAGGAGCAGTGGTCAAGTAGGTACTGGAGAGCTTCTTAATTTACTTCATTCATAGGCGTTCATTACTCGAATTCACCCATCACCTCTCGATAGAAGTAGTTGAAGACTGCTATCCCAACCGTCCAGATTTAAGAAAGTTTTATCTCCGAACCAAGGTTGTGGGGGAGTTCCCATCTCACATTTCTCAAGCCTCTTCCCCCTCCCGCACTAGAACTCAGATTATGAATATTCCTGACCCGAAAAACTCTTTTGCAGCATTGACCTTTAGATCCGTTTCTGAAGTATATCGCAATGATCACTTAGATTTCTAAACTTGAATCTTTCGTGGTCCCGTGGTCTTCACTTTCTCTTAAGAACAATTTTCCCTCTTTGATTACGGAATCCGATGTAGGACGCACACCGACGACGTCTTGAGAATGAAAGCAGTTGAGTTGTTGTAGGGTGGGGAGCTATCATGAACTCAGATCTCAGCGCTTCTACTGCAATACTATTAGGTTGACGCATAACTGTTGCGCTTTTTTTTCAGCAATATTTACTCGAAGAAATGATAGAAATATCTATTAAAGACATGTTCAAATAATTGCTCCAGAACATATCCACCATCTACGACAAGCACTGCCTCCATTTGCTAGGCGGTCGGATTTCACAGGCGAAGAAGTTTCGATCCTTGCAGGCGATCACGCCTCGACGTTAGCCATTAATCCATCCATTTCATCAAAAGTTCAGCTCTTTAACCAACTTTTCAACGGGC